AATCCACTCACCTCAGCCTCCCAAGGCGTGGGATTACAGGCTGAGCCACTGAGTCCGGCTGTACCACATTTTTTTTATCCAGTCTGGTTTCGATGGGCAACACGGTTGGTTCCATGTTTTTGCTATTGTGGATAGAGCTGCAACAAACATACGTGTGCAGGTATCTTTTTTGTTGAATGATTTGAATTCCTCTGGGTATATTCCCAATAGGGCAATTGCTGAGACATATGGAAGGTGAATTTCTAGTTCTTTCAGAAATCGCCACACTGTCTTCCAAATAGGCTGCACTAGTTTGCGTTCCCACCAACAGTGTAGAAGTGTTCCTTTTTCTCCATATCCTCGCCAGCATCTGTTGTTTGTTTTATTGTTTTATTAATGATGGACATCCTTACTTGGGTTACGTGGTATCCCAATGTGGTTTTGATTTGCATTTCTCTGATGATGAGTAAGGCTGAGCACTTTTTCATGTGTCTGTTGGCTGCCCGTATATCTTCTTTTGACAAGTGTCTATTCATGTCTTTTGCCCACTTTTTAATGGGGCTGTTTGTTTTTTTTCCTTTTGACATGTTTGAGTTCCTTGTAGATCCTAGATGTTAGGCCTTTGTCAGATATACAGTTGGCAAATGAAAATGTAAATTATTAGCATGAATTATATCACTTATCATATTGTGTGATACCAATTTTAAATACAGATATAAGAGCATTTAATTTGTATGTCGAATTACCAAAATGACGCAGTTTTATTGTGTAGCTTGTACATGTATTTGCATATACATGTACATGCATATGTATTTTGTTCTTATCAGCATGGTGGAAGTGCTGCACAAAACCAACTCTACTGTTTTAATTTCATGTATCAATGTGCACACAGTTTACCAACACTCTTTACCTTCGGCTTACTAATGAGTAAGGAAGGACTGAAAGGAAGGAAATACTGGGTTGTCCTATCTTTTTCTTATATGTCTTCATTTCTGGAGTAAGTGGTTGGCCAGTACAGGGAAGTAGCAGGAGTCAGAAAGGATATGACAGGATTCCTCGGTTATTCATGTTTTTTTAGAATGCCACTACCTTCTTTTAATGATCAAAATGAATTCTTGTTTGAATGGAAGGCATTGTGAATTTTTTGGGCTGTCAGAGCCCCCACTTACTCAGTCCTAGACATAACATGCTGACCTTGTATTCATTCTGCATTGCACTGAACTCCCAAGCATTGTAGGTCTGCTGGAATCCTGTGCTCCTGGGGCATTGTGAACACTGTGTGTGAATGGGGCTTCTATGAGCTGCAGACATGCATATTGAGTGTTTCCTCTGTTCACGCACTTGTTCCATTGTCTCCCAGGCTTCACTTACAAAATACAAGTTCAAAGATAAAATTATTAAGAATTTCAAGATAAAACAAAGTGCATGACCCTTCTCTGCATGAGGCCTATGGGGCTGTATAGGTTGTATGTCCATGAAGCTGGCCCTTTCTGTATCAGGGAAGCTGCTGGACAGCCTGAAGTCTCATGGGCACACTGTGAGTGAAGGACCCCAATTCACAGCAGGCTGGACACTGCCAATAGTGTTTCTGTGCAAAATGATTTCCTTGAAACCTTTTAATATACTTATTTCATCTCAGTTGAATTATTTATTTGTATGTTTATTTATTATTATTATTTTTAAGAGACAGGCTGGAGTGCAGCGGCGTGATTATAGTTTGCTGCAGCATCCAACTTCTGGGCTCAAGTGATCCTCCTGCCTCAGCCTCCTTAGTAGCTGGTACTACAGACATGCCACTATGCCTGACTAAGATTTTTTAAATTTGTTGGAGAGACAGACTTCTCACTATGTTGTCTTGGCTGGTCTTGAAGTTTTAGCCTCAAGCAATCCTCCTACCTTGGTCTCCCAAAGTGCTGGGATTATAGACGTGAGCTACCATACCTGACTCAGTTGAATTAATATCATCCTTGAGATGGTTGGATCTCTTAGAGGGCTTCTAGTGCCATAAGGAGTGCCTTTCAGATGAACCCTTGAAACCTCAAGGCTGTGTCTAAAACCTGGTACTCATCATTATATCAAATCCATTTTTGTTTGTCTTTTCCACAGGATTTCCAGCAGGAGAGCTCCAGAAGCCTTTCTTTTGGGGAACAGAATATCCTCGGTGAGTAAATTAGTAAGGAAACCAGTTGTTGACAGATTCAGAGGGAACACATTGCTTTGACAGAGGTCAGCAGAAACAAAGTCAGTGATTATTCAGCAGAAAGAGGGCATAGAACCTGGCATGAGTCAGATCTACTTTTATCATTTTAGGGATTTGTTTTCTGATCCTTGTTATCAGAGTGTGTGCCAGGACAGGAAAGCCAGCTTACACATATGCGGTTTTCATTTTTGTGAATTTATTCACTTACCATTGACTCATAGTACCAATATTTAGAACTTGAAGGATTGTTGGGGTTTTGAGTTGTTGGATCTAAAACTATTCCAGGTAGAGGAAACAATGTGAGAAAATGAAGGAAAAGTGTTTAGAGAATGGCAGAGTTCGGTTTGGCTAGCCCAAATGGTATATGAAAGGAAGCAGTGGGAAAAAAGTTTGGAAAAGAAGTTTAACCTTCTTTTGATATTAGAGGGCTCTGAATGCCAGGTAAGAAGCTTGGATCCTAAGAGGCAATAGAAAATATTGATGGTTTTGAGTCAGTAAGTAAAATAATCAAATTTGTCTTTAGAAATATAACCTGGGCAGCGAGATCTCATCTCTACAATAAATCAAAAAATCAGCCGGGCGTGGTAGCGCATGCCTGTAATTCCAGCTACTTAGAAGGCTGAGGCGGAAGGATCGCCGGAGCCCAGCAGGTCAAGGCTGCGGTGGCCCGGGAGCGGCCCACTGCACTCCAGTCTGGGCGACAGAGTGAGACTCCAATTAAAAAAAAAAAAAAGAAATATAACCTGTGGAGTTATAGATAAGTCTGGACTTAGGAATACTGATTTAAAGGCCATTAGTACAATAGCTGGTAGATTTATGTCATTCAGAATTTCCATATGTAGTAGGGATTTTGATAATACTTATTGTCAATACTATCACCACTTTTATTATATACCTTTGCTTGCTCTGTCACTTTAATGCATGGAAAATTTAGTCTTGATTTTGGGAGCTGAGTCTCTTGCATTTCGGTTTAGTATATGACAATTTAAATGTGATTATGTAGGTTTAAAAAATATGGATTCCCATATATATATATATATATATATATATATATATATAAATAAGATAAATATGATGGCGATGTTTTGATTTGAACTTCCCCAGAAGCAGACCCTGTGATATGTATTCAAGTGCAAATAGTTCTTTTGGGAGATGGCACCGGGAAACACCAGCAGAGGAGTGAGGAAGTGAGACAGGGAGCAAGGAAAACAAAGAATTATGTCTTATGAGTAATTTACAGCTGCTAAAATGAATTGCCACACGCTTAGTGACTTAAAACTACATAAATTTATTAGTTTATGGTTCTGTAGGGCAGGAGTCCAATCTGGGTCTCATTGGGCTAAAATCAAGGTGTCAGCAGGTCTGCATTCCTTTTTGGAAGCTCTAGGGAAGAGTTCATTTCCTTGCCGTTTCTAGCTTCTAAAGGGAACCACGTTCTTTGACTCATGGGCCTCTTTCTTCATCTTTAAAGTTCCATAGACACATCTCCTTCTGACTCTCATCTTCTGCCTCTCTTTTCTACTTTCACGGGCCCTTGTGATTACATTGGGCCACCCAGATAATCCAGGATGACTTCCTGGATTTCTTGTCAATTGATGAGCAACCTTAATTTTATCTGCACCCTTAATTCCCTTTTGCTGTATAACATAACATACTTATAGGTTCCAGGGATTAGCATGTGTACATCTTTTGGAGGCCATTATTCTACCTACCACATGTGTGTTACAAAGCCAGTTGTCATCATGGGCAACTGGGGCTCAGTCTTACTGGGAAACTATAGAACATTCTTCAGAGTCATTCCAACTAACAGGTAAGGGAGCCGGAGTATTTATCCTTCAACTCACCTTCCATCATTGATTGAGGGTTGCTACCAGGGGTATTACCTCCTTGGCAGTGCCCAGCCTAGGTGGGCACTGGTGGCTGGAGAAAGTCCTTAGGCAATTAATTTCAGGTGCTGGCATTTGGAAGCTCTCAGATTGGTGTGATCAAAATTGGTGAGTGCTGAGGGGACATGGGCAGGTTATCAGTAAAGTCTACTATAAGAAAACACTATCATTAGAATGAAAATTGTTTGTATTTAACCAAAACCATTAATGCCATTCCAGGCTTCGGCTGCATTTTTTTTTTCCTTTTTTTAGTGTTTAGGTATTTGCAATCAATTTTCCCTACTTTTAAGATTAGAAATATACATATGTATATGTATATTTCTAAAAATTTAACACTTAGGCTAAATATTCCGTAAGCTTTTTTCAGCTAAAATGTCCTAGAATTCTTTGATTTTGCTTATTGTTAACAATTTAACTGAGCTTCTATTATTGTTGTTATGTAGCTGGAGACATGAAAATCACTTGATTCGGTTTTGAAGTTATTGATTCAGTGATTTGTTTATTGGGTACATGAGCATGAGCATGATTTTTCTGACATACAAGTCAAGATCATAGAAACTTAGGAATTAATGTTGGCATCTGTCTGTGAGTTCTGCCATTGTTGATACTTGAGTGTGTGAGATTTTTTTTTTCCTAAAGAATTCTATGTCCTCACTAAAGTCATCCATTCTTACTTAAGATATCCACTCAATGAATAGCTATTAGGTATTATTAAGTATACTTGACATTAAGAATATGGAGATGCTGAAAGACATGGGAAGACATGGTCCAGTGAGAAGGCTTTTCATATATCCATGTCTCCTGTATTGATAGATGGATAGCTTCCATAATCAAGGGAGTGGACCTCCTTTCTGTTCACCCTGGTCAGCTTAGCCCTCACCTGAGTGTTAAGTCTAATTATGAGGCATGAACAAGCTTTTGTTTCTAGAGGAATCAGGTTTATAAATGACTGAAGACAACATTTCCCAAAGTGTGTGTTCCATGTAATAGTAATAGAGGTAAGTCTCCTCCTTCCTTCTGCTTTGAATACTCACACTACTCATCAGCATAAGTTTCCAATAACTTATGTAAGAAAGAAACCTATATAAATATATTTAATCCAGAAGTTCCCAAACTCCCCTTTTCCTTATGTTTTTGGAAATGCTAGTCTAGAATTCGTAACTGAAAAATGAGAGTTGAGAGAACTTGAGAACAATTCAAGAGAACCTTGTAACTATCTTCACATTTTTGAAGGAAAGTTAAGCAGAATGATTTCCTCTATTCAGAGGGGTCAATAGATGTTTAACTAGAAGCTACACCAGACCAAGAGATGGAAGCCATAGAAAAGAAATTTTAGATCAATATTAGGGAGAGCTGTTAAATTTAGACCCACTAAAAGAGGAGTTGGGTTATCTCAGAAGGGGGTGAGCTGCTGGTCACTGAAAATACCTAAGCAGAAGTCTTATGACCATTTGAATGGTTTTTGTAGAAGGGGCTCATGACTCTAGTAGGAAGCTGAACCAGATGACCTTAAAACCACTTCCTCCTCGAAGATTTTTGATAGCTGTGTGAGATCATGGTTAGTCCAGAAAGCAGTATAGTTTTTTTTTGTTGACAGCAAATTCTGCGCATATGTTAAGCCCATTGGGTAATAAGATCAAAAGAGAAACTGAGTAAGTAGTAAAATTATTGTCTTTCTCATTTTATTTTTGGAAAGCTAGATCTTCATTGAAAGAAGTATTCCAGTTTCTAGCCAGCCAGTCACAGTTGTATTTTGAAAGTTATATGAGTTTATTTATTTTTTTATGACATGCTAATTTAAATAATTCTCATTGACAAAATGGAGGATGCGAATTTAATATTATGAAACATTATTATTATCAGGCTTAGTCATATAAAATTACTTTTTCTTTGTCTCTTGTCCAAAGAACTGTGATTATGTAACTGAGAATTGAAACTTACAATGATTCAATCATTCTCTGAATTCTCTATTACCGTTTGCAAATAGGAAGCTTGTTGGAGCAGTCCTTCTTAAGGGACATTTATTGCAGAGCAGTTTCTATAAACTTCCATTGTTCATTCCTTAAATTCATCCAGTCAACAGCATTGACTGAGGGCTGTAGAGGACTGAATACTTATTCTCAGGGCTGAGAGACCTGGAAAAACTAAATGTTGCAGGCTGGACATTGATAGCTACTGCTGCAAAAATTAACACTATGTAAAGTTATAAGTTTATCCCACACTACTATGATAGCTCTATGATTGAAATGCATAATTTTACTCTTACTTCTTTAATGAAGGTTTGCAATGATGGAAAAACAGTAGGAAGCATTTTTTCAAATGCAAATTACCTTGCAGGAAAGAAATAACAAAGGAAAGAATTGCCACCAAGAGGAAAAATTAAATCTTACAGCACTTTCTTGGGTATAGTTGAGACAAACAATTAGCATGGTAAGGATCATTATGTCCTGTAATAACATGTTGCTTCAAAAATTTCCATTCCTTTCAGTTATAGGTCCTGTCTATTTGCTGGGAAACTTTTGATGTTGCATGTCAGGAGCCAACTGTGAAATATTTTTAGTATAATTGCAAATCTCATGATGAATCCCTACAATAAGAATTCTAAGTTGTCTATAATCCTCATCCACAGGTTATATGACTAAAATAAGATACATATAGATCTGTCACTTGCATAAAGTGGTTAAAGTCAACTAATCAACTAAATTGTCATTACTTTCTTACTATGTACTAGGCACAGAGAATTTAGCTTTGAACAAGTACATTAAGAGTTCACTGAAACTTAGAGTTGAGAGAAAATCACAGATACACACATATGGAAACCCATTTTGATTTATTCATATATTACAAATATTCTTTGCTTCAGTTATCTGTTGCTACATCACAAACTACCACCAACCAGTCATTTATTGGCTTATGACTTCTGCAATTTGGGCAGGACTGAGCTGAGACAGCTGGTCCCTGCTATGTATAGTGCTGGTTCAGGCAGCTTAACTAGGGCCGGAGGATTTAAGGTGACTTCACTCATATGTCTGTGCCCCAGTTGGGCTGGCTCTAATGCCTGGGGCCTGGCAGGGGCCTCTCTCTCTTCCTTCAGAGTGTCTCAACGTTTGGAGTTTCTTGCTTGCTTCACTTGGCCTTTCTCTCCAGCTGGGTGGTTGAACTCCTTTTCATTATGGCTGACTTCCAAGAGGGCAGAAAATGGAAGCTACAAAGTCTCTTAAGTCCTGGTCCCAGAAGACATACCTGACCCCTTCCACTGCATTGTTGGTCACAGCAAGTCCCAAGGCTAGTCCAAATGTAAGGGTAGGGAAATAGATTGCCTCTTGATGGGAGGAGGGGACATGTGCATTCAGGGGTGAGTAGAGTTGTTGGTGGCCACCTTTATAGATAACCTACCACATGCTTCTTCAGAGGTGAAGAGAAATAATGGAACACTTTTTCTAAACCTGGTTGACTTCACAGTCTTTGCTATTCAGTTGTCACCTCATCTACAACAGAGACTAAGGAACATGACTACTTTTGAAAACAGTGATCCCTTTTAATCTCTGCTCTATTCTTTTTATGACTGCATCTGGAAAACAGTTTAACTTCTAAGATTATAGTGACTTTTCAACAAGTTTTCAGATAAAAAAAGAAATGGTATATTTACTGACAGCATCTTTTGAAGCTCTGTTTTAGGTGTTCATAAATATAAAATATAGCTAGAGCAGATATGGAATCATAGAAATCTCAGGGCTGAAAGGGATTTTAGAAATTATCTCTCTTACATCCCTAATTTCACACTAAGGACACTAAGGTTCATATGTGATCATGATGACAATGTTGGAACTTATATCTTCTTTGCCCATTTCAATTGGAAGGTGTGTTTAATTTTTTTTACGGTTTTATGGGTATAGTTATTAGATTGTTATTACCATGGTTACTAGAAAACAGTTTATCTTGGCTTTCCATTGAAAAATTAAAGGATTATGCTCTGAGATTCTTGCTTGTAATTTTTTCCAAATTGTGTATTTATGCCATAGATCTCTGAGTTATGGTGCTATAGGAGTAATTGTCGGACATGAATTTACACATGGATTTGATAATAATGGTAAGTACTGGTTCATTTTATAAGCTGCTGCTTTTATAATAATGTTGACTATATGCATGTTAATTGCGATTATCTTTGCATAGCAGCAGCAACAAAGCTTGAAGATTATCCAATGCAATATGATTAGGGATTGAAAACTTTTCCCCATTTCTTGCTGTGATAACTTGCAATAAATAAGCAATTGTTCCCATTGGTGATAGAGGTAGAATAAAAGAAAGACCTTGTAAGCTCAATGAAATTAGCTTTGCATTTAGATCAGAATTGCTGTAGTACCACAACAGTTACAGGAATTGCTTTATAGCTTCTCCCTTTGTCATTTCTTTATTCACCATCTTGGTTGAATATTCTCCCTGGTGGTGTGAGCTCTGCTCCAATGATGATTATACATGTCTCCGAGTTAGGACTCGAGCTCGGCTGACTGATACCTTTAAACAATTTCAAGGATTATGCAGTTTTTAATCTCTATTTTTCTTTTTCTTTTTGAGTCAGAGTCTCACTCTGTCACCCAAGCTGGAGTGCAGTGACACACTCACGGCTACCGCAGACTCAACCTGCTGGGCTTAGGCAATCCTTCCACCTCAGCCTTCCAAGTAGTTGGAACCACAGGCACGTGCCACCATGCCTGGCTAATTTTTAAAATTTATTGTAGAGATGCGGTCTTGCCAAGTTGCCCAGGCTGGTTTCGAACTCCTGAGCTTAGGCAATCCTCTTGCCTCTGCCTCCCAAAATGCTGGGATTACAGGTGTGAGCCATTGCATCTGACCTGTTTTCCTTATATTAGTGTATATTCAGAATTCTTTTTTCCCCTTTATTTTAAAGATGTGGGGTACAATTAAGGGTTAGGTATACAAATGTTCATTATGATGAACATACCCTTCTGATGAGGTCCCCGTCTGATGAGGTGTGCCCCTCCCTGCACTGGCAGTTTCCCTCAACTGCCCATCCCACCCCCTTCCCCTGGCAGTTTCCCACTACTGCCAATCACTTTCTTATAGTATTATAATTGTTCAAGGTTCGCTTATGAGTGAGAACATATGGTACTCTGTTCTTTGTTTCTGTGATAGATCACTGAGTATTATCGACTCTAAATACATCCATGTTGCCACGAAGTCCATGTTTGTCCTCATTTAAGATGGCATAATATTTCGTTATGTATATGTACCACATTTTTTTAATCCAGTCCAGCTTTGATGGGCAACATGGTTGGTTTCCTGCTTTTGCTATTGTGAATAGAGCTGCAACAAACATGCATGTGTAGGTATCTTTTTTGTAGAATGATTTGTGTTCCTCTGGGCATATTTCCAGTAGGGGGATTGCTGGGTCATATGGAAGGTCAATTTTTAGTTCTTTCAAAAATTGCTACACTGTCTTCCAGAGAGGTTGCACTAGTTTGCATTCCCACCAGCATTCCTTTTTCTCTGTATCCTCCGCAGCATCTGTTTTGTTTGTTTTGTTCATGATGGCCATTCTTACTGTGGTTAGGTGGTATCTCAATGTGGTTTTGATTTGCATTTCTCTGATGATGAGTGAGGCTGAGCACTTTTTCATGTGTCTGTTGGCTGCTCATATCTCTTCTTTTGAGAAGTGTCTATTCATGTCTTTTACCCACTTTTTAATGGGGCTGCTTGTTTTTTTTTTCCTTTCGACGCATTTGAATTCCTTGTAGATCCTAGATGTCAGGCCTTTGTCAGATAAACAGTTGGCAAATATTTTTTCTCATTCTGTGGGCTGCCTCCCTGCTCTCTTGATGGTTTATTTTTCTTTACAGAAGCTCGTCAGTTTGATGAGGTCCCACTTGGTTATCTTATTTCTTATGGTATGGGCACTTAGGGTTCTGATCAGGAATTGGTTGCCAGTTCCAATTTCTATATGGGTGTCTCCTGCATTTTCTAAGATTCTTGGTTTGTTGTTTTACATTTGGGTCTTTGATCCATTTAGAGTTACTTTTTGTGTATGGTGATAGGTAAGGTCCTGTTTCAATCTTCTGCATGTGATCAGCCAGTTTTCCCAGCACCATTTACTGAATAGGTTCTCCTCTCCCCAGTGGTGGTTGTTGGAGGCTTTGTCAAAGATGAGTTGGTTGAGAAATTGAGGCTTTGCTTCCAGAATTTCTATCCTGTTTCATTGGTCTGTATGCCTGTTCTTGTACCAATACCAGGCTCTTTTGATTGTTGTAACCTTATAGTTTGAAGTCTGACAGTGTGATACCTCCTGCTTTGTTTCTTTTGCTAAAGATTGTTTTGGCTATTTGTAGTTGTTTATGTTTCCATATGAATGTCTGTATTGTCATTTCCAGGTCTGAGAAGAATGAGGTTGGTAATTTAATGGGTATTGTGTTGAATCTGTAGATTGCCTTTGGCAGGATGGACATCTTAACACTGTTGATTCTTCCTATCCATGAGCATGGACTATTTTTCCATTTGTTTGTGTCTTCTTGGATTTCTTCCAACAGTGTTTTGTAGTTCTCATTGTAAAGGTCTTTCATTTCTCTGGTTAGGAAGATGCCAAGGTATTTTTTTTGTGTGTGTGGCTTTTGTGAATGGGATTGTAATTTTTATTTGGTTTTCTGCCTGCTTATTGTTGGTGTATAAGAATGCAACTGTCTTTTGCACATTTATTTTGTACCCTGAGAATTTGCCAAAGTCCTTTATCAGTGCAAGCAGGTTTTTGACAGATTCTCTTGGATTTTCGAGGTGTAGGATCATATCATCAGCAAAGAGGAATAACTTGACATCCTCTTTTCCTATTTGGATACCCCTGATTTCCTTCTCTTGTCTAATTGCTCTAGCTAGGACTTCTAACACATTGTTGAACAAGAGGGGTGAGAGTGGGCAACTTCGTCTTGTTCCAGTTTTCAGGAGAAATGTTTCCAGTTTCTGTCTGTTTAGCAATATGCTAGCTGTGGGTTTATCGTGGATGGCACTGACCATTTTGAGGTATGTTCCTTCCATACCTAGGTGTTCGAGGGTTTTTATCAAGAAGGAATGCTGGATTTTTATCAAAAGCTTTTTCTGCATCTTATGATATAATCATGTATTTCTTGTTTTTACATCTGTTGATGTATTGAATTACATTTATGGTCTTGTGGATGTTGAGTCAGCCCTGCATCCTGGGGATGAAGCCTACTTGGTCATGGTGGATGATTTTTGAGATGTGTTTTTGGACCTGATTTGCTAGAATCTTGTTGAAGATTTTTGCATCTATGTTCATAAGGGATATTGGCCTGTAGTTCTCTTTTTTTTTTTAATTGGATATTTACCCAGTTTGGGTATCAGTGTGATGTTAGCTTCGTAAAATGATTTGGGGAGAATTCCATCTTTTTCAATTACCGGGAATTCTTTCAGTAGGATTGGTATCAGCTCCTCCATGTATGTCTTCAGAATTCTTTTTTAGGCTATACTTTCTTAATAATGCATGATATAGAATATTCTGTGTATTCTGGTAACATTAAGGCAAAAGGAAAGAGCAGAATATGGCATAAACTAAAGAAATAGTCACCTTTGTGAGTCCTCGTCATTTTTAATCAGCACTCCTTTCTCCTTTAACTTTGGAATATTATTGGAAAGCCACATGAAGTCTCTGAAACTTACGGATTAGCTGCAAATTACTATCACATCCACACAATGATTTACAGGCATTCTCAAGAACCAGCTGGCCCATGGCAATGTTGTCTAGAAGGGGACCTCTTTTTTCCCTGCCTGTAGAGTTCCCAACATCATTTCTTGGATGCCTACTCCAGGGCCAGAAACCCTTTTAGCTCTTATTCTTATGGAAGATTCTGTCTGTGCTCCTATCTGCCTCTCCTTAATTACCTAGGTATTTTGCTTCCCTAGTCTCTTCTTCCCTGTTAAAATGTAGCTGCCTTGTAGTCATCTGACTCTCCAGAACTAGACTTTCTGCCCTTGGGTGTTTGGTTTTTCTGAGAGAAGAGTCTTAGCTAAGAAATGAAAGCTAGTATTGCTCTTTTGGCTCTAGGCCTTTCTTCCTAGGACATGTAAGTAGAGTTTCCCCTCAGAATCTTCTGGAGACCTTCTGGAGTTTCTCTCAAAGGACAGGATTTAATGATGGCAATTCCACTCTGTAAGGAATACTTGGAACAGTGAATTGCACATATAAATCATGCTCAGTAACTATTTAATGATTGGCTGGTTAGTGGGCAGAGGACAGTGACTCCCTACTATCCCAGGAGGTGTTGTTAGTAGCAAGTAGCTTTACTGAAGAGCTTTGAATTGTTCCAATCAATGCCTTTGCTTAGGGGACTTTCTTGTAAACTCTCTCCATAATTAAATTTAAACAATGCCTCAGATTCTAACAGTAATCTTGCATATAGATAATCGAGTTGCATCCAACCATTTATTTCAAAGGGTGTAGAGAAAATGAAGAGTGAGTGTGTAACAAGAAATATGTATAACTAATCTTTTTTCCCATTGTGTTTTGGAGATTTCCATTCTTGCTCCAAGTTTTCTTTTTAGAGCAGTCTTCCTTGTTTAAGCAGGACAGATGGGTCTCCCATCCACACTGATGGCTATGGAATGATTCATAACAGGTTTTATGTGTCTCTCGGCTCCTGGCAACTTGGAGGAAACAGGTTCTCATAGGGCTGAGTCAAGGTCTGTGGTTGCACAGTGCAGATGACTCACTGAGGCTATTCCTATGGATCATTTGGAATTTCACTGGTAATAACGCTCTGATTCCCTCCATAGTCTTTCTGAATGAAGCCATTTTATTTCATAATCGAGAGAACATTTGGGGTCAGATCAGGTGAAGACACAGAATTCAAGATTGGATAAGACTCATGCATGCAGTAAATTGACGAATCTCATTTTTTAAATGCTCTTTGTTCCTTAGAAGGAAAGAACTTCCTCAATCCTCTTTATCCTTTTCACCCTTTTTACAATTAACCCATGACATTAGAGAGAATGCAAGAGCTGCTCTCAGGAAGAGTGTGCCCTACTGTTATGACTGCTTTTTGAAGGCTTGTCGAGGTAAGGGAAAGGAAAAATGAATTTAATTTCCATAAATAACACAAGTGTCTTCGAACTTTCCTTTTTGCTAGGCAGAAAATATGATAAAAATGGAAACCTGGATCCTTGGTGGTCTACTGACTCAGAAGAAAAGTTTAAAGAAAAAACAAAGTGCATGATTAACCAGTATAGCAACTATTATTGGAAGAAAGCTGGCTTAAATGTGAGTACAACTGTGGTTAAGGGGGCACTTTGTAGCTTATTTTTCCTCATCTGGACATTAGCTTACTTTAAACTACTGTTTTTCAATGTGTGCTTCCATGATCAACAGTGTCTGCCTTCCCTGAGAACTTGTAAGAAATGTAAAGTATTGAGTCCTACCCTGAGATCTGCTAAATAAGAATGGCTGGAACCAGTAGTGAGGCTGTCTGTCCTTTCACAAAGTGATTTTAATACAAGCTAAATTTTGAGAATCATAGGCCTAAACAATAGTTTGTTGTCCCATACTCAGATCAATGTAGAAAATCTTGTAGCACAGATAAACAATAACATTCTTGTAAATCTCCCATACCTCATATCATTAAACATTTTCCCCCTAAACTACTACTTAGGTTTAATTAAAAGAAATAAAACCTCACCATTTTGAATTAATGGGTCTGTGAATTGGTTAAGAGTTCTTAGTTATAGAAGTTTGAGCAAAAAAAAATGCTATTTTTTCAAAGTTTATTTTCTATTATATATATAAATATTTTTTCATAAAGGCACAGATGAAATTTTATACATGCTTTTTGTGTAGGCGAAATTTTGTTCCTTTCCTTTTTTTGTCATCACCTTCATCTTCTTCCCCTTTTCTTTTCATCAATCTTAACTTCCCTACCTGTAATTGATCTAAATAACCCTGATACTTTTGTTACCATGTTTCTATAAAGATAGACACACACACACATCTTTAGTTCACTATTTTCAATGGCTATTTAAGAATACTTAATAGGAATATATATAACTTAGTCAACTAACATCTTGATGAGGGGTTGTACTTTCTAATTATAAATTCTGCTGCAGTAAACACGCTTATTGTGTATGTATTTCTTTTTTCCCCTGTAGGATAGATTCCTACTGTCACCAAAAATGTTATAACATTTCTTATTTCCAGTGGTGTTTATGAAAGTGTATTTATCTTCTGAGTTATTTTCTTGTCAAATTTTAAAATATTATAGATGTTAAAATTTAGTCTATCATTTAAATTATGCATATTTTCCCTAAATAAGTTACTTCTCCATTGGACTCTGTATGTGGTATCTTTTGACATACAAAATATAAACATTTTTATATAGTCCAAGATACCTATCTCTCTTTAAAAATTGTTTCTGTATTTCCATTCTTGATTACAAAAGTGTCTCCAACACCTATACCTATATCATATGTATGGAGTATTCTAGATTTTCTGGGAAGGTTTATATTGTTTTGTTATTTAAAATTAATATTCATGTAAAATATTTATTTTTATATGGAATTTAATATGAGAGTTCATTTTGATTTTCTTCCAAAAAATAGCCAATTGACCCAGCATAATTTACTAAAAGACATTTTTTTCCCCTCAAATGCCTTTAAGGATCAGAAGAACCAAGTCAGTATTTATAAACATTTCCTTCAAAACAAAATGGGTGGCAGAGGCAAGAGGATTGCCTGTCAAATGTGTGTCATAAATTAGAATCTCATACACTGAGAATTAAATTTCTAAGAGTTAAAATTCTGGATTATATATTCTGCTGATTTACTTGTTGATTTCATTCTGTCTCCCCCAACCCAAAGAAGATTCCATTGGGATTCTAATTTAAGTCGCTGTAGATGTATGGAATTGACATTTTAATGATAGAATCTTCTTGTCTAAGGACATATACTTTTCAATTTGTTTGATTTTTGTTTTAAGTTTTCAAATAATGTTTTATAGTATTCTATATATAGTTTATTTACTGTACTTTTTTTTCTTACTTTTTTCCCCTTTATTTTGCTGATTTGATTAGGTTAGTTTTCATGTCTTTTCACCATTATTAATTTTCTTGTACTTTTCCATTGCATTTTCTGTTCCCTGGTTTTATAATTATGAGAAAGATTTCATTCATTGTATTTGATAATATGATATCAATAAGGAAGAATTGTTGATAGGTTATACATCTGTAGGAAGACCTTCCTCTAAAACATATGTATACACTGTATGCTCCCAATTTATCTAGTCAAAAACACAGCACCTAAGAGAAGCAAGGTGGCCACATACAACTGGAGTAGGTCAGTATATCTTAAGTGGTTTTTCCAGGTTCTTTTGGTCCCTTAACTAGACATGAATTCTGTCTTGATATCTTACTGGAGCTGAAAAAATACTCAAATCCTTGCTGTGCCTCAAGTTCATTATACTGGGGGTTTATATCACCATTCCAGATGAATGTGTGTAAAAATCCAGGTGCTTTTTTTTTTTGAGTTGGAGTCTCACACTATCACCCAGGCTGAAGTGCAGTGGCACCCTCAGGGCCACTGCAGCCTCAACCTGCTGGGCTTAGGCGATCCTTTCATCTCAGCCTTCCAAGTAGCTGGAACTACAGGCATGTGCCACCACACCTGACTGATTTTTTGATTTATTGTAGAGACAAGGAGGTCTCGCCATGTTGCTCAGGCTGGTCTCAACTTCCTGAGCTCAGGCAATCCTCTTGCCTCTGCCACCCATTTTGTTTTGAAGGGAATGTTTATAAACACTGACTTGGTTCTTCTGATCCTTAAAGTATGCTCAGTACAAGTGAGACTACTGCTCATTCAGGAAGAGAAACCAGTCACTAACCTTGAATATGTCTCTAGCTTTTTAATCCATTTCTCTGCCATATATTTCTTAATACCTACAATTATGACATGAGAACACCTCAGATGGGTGCTTCTGTGTATTTTTATTAAATTCATGGTTTTTCACACTGAAAATTCATCCGGAGTATACGTTGCTTCAAGAAAAGCATAGCAATCCACAGAGGGGTTCTGGAGTCAGACATGGGTCCAAATGTTGGCTCAGTAAATTACTAGTTTTATGAAATTGGGCAAATTACTTAATATTTCTGAGTCTCAACATCTTCATCTGTGAAATGGGGAAGTATTCCTTAACTTGTTTGTTTGTTGTTAAAATTAAATGAGTGAAGTAACGTGGAACACCAGCACAATGCCTGACACGCAGTGAGTGCTCAGTAAAAGGTAGTTAATATTCTTCATCCTTTGTAACATATTCATGGGTACCCCATCCCAGGAAAAAAACAAAGACAAAGACTTTGGGGCTGAAAAAAACAAAAACAAAAACCTGCAAAACAATAAGAGAGCAGCTTTCTTGGAGGAAAGGAATTCATGTTTCCTAGTGATTATTATATGCAGACATGAGAGTTAGATCTTTCACTTAATTGAAACAAATGTAATTCTCAAACTGGTCCTGAGAGGTTTACATATTTCTAAGTGTTGATATTTTATATACGAGTAAACTGAGGCTCAAAGAGATTAAAACCCATGGTAGAGTTAGAGTTCAGATCTATTATGACTTCAAAGTCCATATATTTTTCCCATATCATACTCTGTTTCTTATTTTAAATTCACTTTATGCCTGGGTGATGTGTGGGTGGACTGTTCTTCACCATCCATTTTGGCCAAAGTGTCAGATATTGCAACTTAATTCTGACAAATGTGTACCTTTGTCACAAGGACAATAGAAAGGGCATACCTGTCTTACCATAAATCCACTCAACCATCAGAAAACAGTTTTAGTCTCATTCCCACAGGAGAGTAGGTAGCTTCCTTTGTGGATATGAAGGGCCATACTTTATTTTTCTGGCTTTATTTGTAGGGGGCATTTCTCTGTGCCTGAATCTTTCTTTGCAGTGAACTGAGGAGAGCTCAGATAGGCGCCACAGAAGTAAACTGAGAGGCTAAACCTGGGGCTATGTGGTCTACTGAGGCAGTCCAGATTGCAAGGAGCCAGAAGAGTGAGGCAACTCCAAAAGCCTCTAATTTAGGTATAAAGCTAAGAGTAAAAAAACAAATTCAAGCATGAGTGGATAGAAACATAAGCATCAAGAGACAAGAGGAGTTGGGACCTGAGAAGCAAAGGCTCTGGAGACAGAAGACTGCTTGGGTCTGAACCCCTGTGAAGTGTGAGCAGTTTACTTAATTACTATGTTCTTAGGTTTACTAGAAGCAGAGCCCAAGAAGGGATTCCTTAGGTCAGTGATTTATCGAGAAAGTATTTTTTTTAGGAGAAACCTGTAATGGAGTGAGAACAACATATTAGTTTCAGTATAAGTTTGACCTTACCCTGATCTTACAGAGGGTTCTGGAGCATGAAGTGCACCACAGATATTGTTCAGCTCAGGGGCAAAGGGTTGGTCTGTTCTAACTGCACATCAGTCAGTCACTGGAAGGTTGGGTATAACCTCCCAGCAATATCCAGGTGAGGTGACTCCCATAAGCTAAGATTGATCTTCCTGAGCTTTGAGCAGTTATACGAATGGGTGCACAGTCCTGTTAGAAAAGGGGATCCAGTGGGGTACCAACAATACCTGCTACACAGCCCAGCTTTAGATCCTCATTTGTAAAACAAGGATGGTGACAATGGTACTTACCTCATAGGCTTGTTGACAAGAAAGAATGTATATAAAGTAGGAATGGTAATTTTTGTGGACTGAAGCTAGGAGGGTTCTGAGTGATTACAGTGATGAATATTTTTCAAATATTCTTTGGTATTGTTCTATTATTCTTTGGTATTGTTTGATACCTAGGTGACTGAGCTAGTTTAAAAGTAAAGAGGTGGCGAGATCCATGGCTTGTAAGTTTAGAGCAGAACAAATTAGCACAAACTTAGTAACTTGAAACAACACAAATTTTTTATCATACAGCTCTGTTTGTCAGAGATTTGCTGCAGGTCTCAGTAGCCTAAAATCAAGTTGTCAGCGGTGCTGGGCTGTGTTTCTTTCTAGAGGCTCTAGGGGACAATCTGTTTCCTTGCCTTTTCTATCTTTGAGAGGCTGCCCAAATTCCTTGGCTAATGGCCCCTTCCTTCATCAAAGCCAGCAATGACTAGTGGAGTTTTCTCACATCACATCGCTCTAACACTCACTCTCTTGCCTCCCTTTTCCTTTTGTAAGGACTCTTATAATTACATTAGCTCCACCTAGATGATACAGGATAATGTCCTCATCTCAAGATTCTTAATTAATCACATCTTTAAAAAGTTCCCTTTGCCATTGTAAGGTAACGTAGTTACAGGTTCCAGAGATTAGGATGCAAACATTTTTGGAAACCATTATCTTGCCTACAACACAGGGGTTGGCAAACTTTTCTATAATGATCCAGATAGTAAATAATTTAGGCTCTGTGGGGAGTATGGTCTCTGTTGCAGCTATTTAACATTGTAGCAAGAGAGCAACTGCAGATAACATGTGTATGAATGGGCATGGCTGTGTTCCATAAAACTTGATTTATGGACACTGAAATTTGAATTTCATAAAATTTTCATGTGCCACAAGCTATTGTTCTTCTTTTGATTTCTCCCGTCACCCTCCAGTCATTGGAATATGTAGAATCCAGTCTTACTTTGCAGCCAATACAAGAATAAACAGCAGGTTGGATTTGGTTGGTAGGCTTATATTGGTTGCGAATATTTTTATCCTGGCTCATTCAAGGTTTTAAGAAATAATCTTTGAGTATTGGGAAGAATTTCTTCACCATGCTTGGATAATTGTCATACATATTGCAAACCTCGACCTTGTGATCTGCACTACTTCTATTTGATTTTTTTCCCCCGGAGAACTACCCATTTTTTTCATTTTTCATGGCCATTGCTGAAGTTAAAATGATGATGGTTGGTCTTGAAATCTTGGTCCTGTGTGGACGGTAAATTTTTGGAAACACAGGAACAATGAGAAAAATACTCAAATTATGTGAGTTAATCACAGAAAGTAACCTGTGTATTGACATTTCTGTATTTTTCCCATTAAGCCAAAGTCACTTAGAATATTGTTAATGTTTTGTTGGAACTGGCTAAATTGGTGAGAATAAAGAGGTAGGTGAGAAATAAATGTGTAGCATACTAAAATAGAAATGATTATATTCAAAAGTGCCTTGCTGTGGTTGGTTTGCAATCTCAAAATATATTAGGACTACCTCTGATTTATTGACTATAATTTTCTATTTAAAACATGACAGTTACCTTGCTATAATATGTCTGCTTCTTGCTGAATGATAGTTGACCACAAAACACTCTTTTAATTTTCTTTTTGTTAGGTGAAAGGGAAGAGAACCCTGGGAGAAAATATTGCCGATAATGGAGGCCTGCGGGAAGCTTTTAGGGTATGCACTGCTACATTTACTGTGGTTTTAAAAATTAAGCTGTAAAACACCATATGAGTGTACCTCAATTTATACTACAGTCATGATTTTTGAAAAGTTAGATATGGAATTTCTGTAAATAGAATTGTATTTCCCCACTGACTCTATTATATACATAGAACTGCATTTTTGTTTTTGGTGCATAGTCACCTAAAGAATAATATTTGTTATTAAGAATCATGCATTTAAATGATAGTTTTCATAAAATATATTATCAAAGCTTACCATGACACTAGCTTGACACTAGAGCTAGGTACATAGGAGTTTTCCTTGAGTACAGCTCTCTCTATAGCCTTCTTTATACCTTTCTCTTAAAATATCACTTCTAAATTATGGTCAGAAGGTAGTAGTTCTCATATACTGGGCCAAGTAAGAGTCCATAATAACATTTTCATCATCTACTGGTCTGTGGTTAAACAAGAAACATAAGGATAATGTGAAAAACATTTCATAAAGCTAAATGCATTCAATTTAAAGACCATACTGTTATTCCCAGGTTATAACCTTCTTCTATTCTAGTTAAAGTAGACTTTATTGGATTGGCAGTGGTGGGAAACTGCCAGGGAAGGGTGTGGGGGGGCACATCTCATCAACAAGGGTACCTGCATAATGAAAATGTATATACCTAACCCTGAATTGTATCCTACATATTTAAAAAAAATATATATATATTTTATTTTAGAAAGCCGGATTTATTGAGAGGACAGAGAAACTCACAAAGTAGGAGAGGACCTGAAAGGGTTGCCCCTAAATAAAAAAACTTTAAAAAAATAGACTTTATTTTACAAAAATGAGGGTGATGGAAGATGATAGTTTTCCCTCTTACTTGAGAAAAAAAATGACAGTATGTTGACCCCCAAATGTATTGATATAGGGGCCTTGCCATTGTGTTAGATTTGTTTGTCCTCTGGTAAGAATAGAGAGAAGAGCTTTTTAAAAGAGTTGTTTAATGTCTGAACACTTTGGCTTGGGTGCTTTGGTATTTATTGCAGGCAAGGTCTTTTTTTTTTGAGTTGGAGTCTCACTCTGTCACCCAGACTGGAGTGCAGTGGCCGCTCCCGGCCACCACAGCCTCGACCCGCTGGGCTCCGGCGATCCTTCCGCCTCAGCCTTCCAAGTAGCTGGAACTACAGGCGCGCGCTACCACACCCAGCTGATTTTTTTGGATTTTTATTGTAGAGATGAGGTCTCATCAAGTTGCCCAGGTGGGTCTCGAACCTGCGGGCTCAGGCAATTCACTCACCTCAGCCTCCCAAGGCGCGGGATTACAGGCTGAGCCACTGAACCCGGCTGGCAGGCAAGGTCTTTTTACTGGTGCTCCTGCCTCACTGGTAAGAAATAGAACATGGATTTGCATTTCCAGGTATTTGTTTTATTTTCTTTACATTTTTTTTTTATTTTAAAGATGTGGGGTAAATTCAGGATTAGGCATGCAAGTTGTCATCGTACAGGTAAAGTTTGGGCCTCCTTTTGGTCCCCAGTTTGCCTGGTTTGAGATCAGGTAGGTAGCCTTATTGATGTTGTGTCTCTCACCCCCCCACCCCCATTTTTCTTAAAGGACAACTTGACGTGATGCATTTTGCACATGGCAAAAGTATATGCTTGATACCTTTGTGCTGGATGAGAAAAGAGAAAACCACCACTGCAGAGGCTCATCTATTTGCTTATTTGCTTCTCTCACTAGGCTTACAGAAAATGGATAAATGACAAAAGGCAGGGAGTTGAGGAGCCTCTTCTACCAAGTATTGCATTCACCAACAACCAGCTCTTCTTCCTGAGTTATGCTCATGTGAGTAGACCAAGGAAGGGACATCAAATATGAGCTGTAGGACTTTAGATTATTTCCTTGATCAAAAATTGGGAACAGAAGTTTAATGGCATGACTTTGATTATAGCCAAACTTTTATTTTGCTAATTATTTTCAGGATTAATCAACTGAATTGAATCAAGGTTGATTGATATTTTTTCTCAAGTGGGTTACTGGCCTATGGTAACTCACTTGATAGTTCTCCAGTATCTCTTGACTTTTAATGAGTTTGCTATTATTTGTAACCATTTCTAATAACTTGTTCTTTGGCATTTATTGCCTTGCCCTTTTCTATATTTCTCGTTCTTTGTCTCATTTTCTCACTTTATCCTACCACTCTCAACCTATGCGAGACCCTCAGGGCTATGCTCCCAACTGTTGAATGCATATGCAAAGACTGCTAGAGGTGAAAAATCAACAACAAAGACAAGGAGAGAAGTGCCACTCTTTTGTGAGTTTCATAGGGTCTCACAGCAGAAATTGCAAGAAAGATGTGCACTAAATAAAGCACAATTCTGAGTTTGAGTCTCTGGCTAATGAGGCAAGTGCCAATTCTTTGCTATTGGTTATTGCACTGGTTTATGTCACAAACATGTAGGTAACATTTTTGAAGAAATCAGGGATACATGACATCACAGTGGGCATATGTGTATTTATGTGCTCAAAGCTAGACAAAAATTTTCTTCACTGCAACCTTTTGTTCCTGTCTTTGTATTCACTGTTCAGTAAGCTCATCCAGTGACAAGTCTTCTACAGTTGACTCTGGTCAAAGATTCTCACCTGCTTGGCTTCTTTTATTTATTAAAGCTGACATGTTACAATGCATTTGTACCTTCTGATTATATAATAAAAAGAAAATATTTTTAAAAACTTAGAGAGTGGAACAAGGTAGGGGACTTACATAAATTTTCTTTCTTTCAAATTGAATACAAATAAGAGAAAAAAGTTGACATAATAATGCCAAAAAGTTATTATTATTATTTTTCCTCTTTTAAACTTTTTATTTATTTTTATATCAATATTTTTAATTTTGATATTGTGGGGTACAGTTAAGGGTTAGGTATACAAATATGCTTGGTTCAGGCACCCTTGTTGATAAGGGGTATCTCCCCGTAAAAAATTATTATGTAATAATCTGATGTCAACAAAACTGTAGTCATTAACAAAATTACTTTCCTTTTCAGTTTTCTATTTTTATCAAAGCCCCTCCACACCCTAGTCTTTGGATTTTCCTGGAAATCCTAGATCCTATTTTATTTGATTTATCTACCTTTATTTTTATGGCATGTGTTCCAAAAGTTAGGTGTTTCATCTCTTTAAATGCTTTTCAGATTCAACCTCTCCTTTTCCCCTATTTTAGCCAGTTTAGGTTACTGTGACAAAGTATTATAAATTGGGTGGCTTATAAACAACATAAATTTGTCACAGTTATGGAGGCTGAAAGCCTAAGGTCAGGGTGCTAGCAGGATTGGGTTCTGGTGAGGCCCTTCTTCTAGGTTGCAGATTGCTGACTTCTTGCTGTGTTCTCACATGGCAAAAAGAGCTAGCTGGCTCTCTGGCCTCTTCTTATAAGGGCACTAATCCCATTAATAAGGACGTCACCCTCATGACTTAGTCACCTCCCAAAGGCCCCACCACCTAATATCATTAAATGGGATTAGGGTTTCAATATATGATTTTTTTGAGATGCAAATATTCAGACCATAGCATCCCCATTACCCTATCTCATCATCTACAGTCTTAACCTTGTTATCTTCTATATTATGGATGATCTCAACAGCCTTTTAGCATGGTTCTGTGATGTCAGTATCTTTCACCACTATTTTGCATGCCACTGAAATACCACTTTTATTTTATTACCAACCTGCTGAAAGAACTACACTGACTCCTGAATGCCTACCATGCTGAGCCCAAATACCTTCATCTGGCTTCCAAAGTTCTCAATCTGATTCAACTCCACCCAACCCACCTTCATTTCTCATAACTCCATTGGATAAGAAAAACTCAACCATAGCCAGGCAGGTATCCTCACTGGCATTTCACAGTCATACCCGTTACTGTTTCTGTGGATTTCATTCTATTCTCCTTCTATAATATTTTCCCCTTCCCACTCTTCCCCCTCAAATTATTCAATCCCAGCTTTATCCTTCAGGATCCATGTCGAGTTCCACCATCTACATCTTCCATAAACTCTTCCCCAAGGACTCCAATCCTTATTATTTTCTCTTATCTTCAACTCATGTTATACTTACCTTCATTACCATGCAGTTGAGTACTTAATTGTTCTTCAAAAGTTCAAAAAACTTAATTTTATCTCCACAGTGAATCTTCTGGATCCTTACATTTCTCATGTATCTCCATAGCATCCAGCAAAGATGCTGCATATGTTGAAGATACTTGATACTTTTAGATCAATTGCTTGAAAGGAAGAAGACTAGCACAGTTCCACTAAGGAGACGTTCTTTTGGGTCATTACTGGGTCAGGTATCTAAAATAAGTACACAAAAGTAGTTAGAGCTTTATAGAGTTGGGGTTGGCAAACTAAGGCCAAATATGGCCAGCTTCCTGTTTTTGTAAATTTTTTTTTAAAACAGCCACACTTACTTATTTATCCATTGTCTGCAACTGGTTTGTACTACAATGGTACAGTTGAGTAGTTGAAATAGAGACTTTATGGCCTTCAAAGTCTAAAATATTTATAATCTGTCTCTTTACAGAAAAAGTCTACTGACCCTTACTCTAGAGAACACAGTATAGGGGGGCCTCAGTTTTTATTATTTACATTGTAGTCCACAATGTTTCTTTGTAGATGAAATAAACAAATGGATAGTGATAATACAGTTATAATTTTGAAATGTCTCTAAATATAATACCAAATCATATCTGATTTATTTTAAACTAAAGAGATTTAGGGGTAAAAAGTGTGGAAAGCTATTTTATATCACTAGTGAGGAATTTATCTTGGAGCTTTTCCCACTGACAGAATGAGGAGATTTTCAAACTCTTGCACTTTGGAGTAAGTTTGCTTATAGTAAGTAAGGTTATTTTCCCTCCTGGGAAGGTAGTAGGAAAACAGTATCAACCATAATGTGTTTTCAGAAAACTCTTAAATGATATATGAAGCAAAGATAGTACTATATAATAATGTAAGAATATAAGAAGAAATGCCAGAACCAATTTCACATTAGCTAGCTTCTGAGGCAATTAAGGAATCATATTACAAAAACATCTTCAAAGTCAAATTCAGAACCACAGCGACTGATGGTTTATCTTCATCAAAAGCAATAGCATCATGTCACCTTTCCTGCTTACTATATCCCTGTAGTTACTGCAACCTGTCCATCTTTTTCTCAGATATTCTTCTCATCCTTCTACTTCTCTCCATTCTAATTTCTATTTATTTAGTGACATCCATTGAGAATTTTCTGGTGCCTATAAATAATCTAACTAGTCTTTAATTTTTTTTGCTATTATGCATCCCTGCCACATAAATCTTTCAAAAAATCTGAATTTTATCATTTTCTTATTCAAGAACAGTGTTTAAATATAAACAGGACTTCAGAAAAATATAAGCTCAGGACTTCAGAAATGTGGCACTTTCCTCCCTCTTCCATTGCTGCCTGTTATGCACCACTTGTTCCAGCCAAGCTAAATGTCGCGCTTTCTTTCCCCTCAAATACGTCTTTGTTTCTATTTCTCCCTCCACTTAGAACATTTCCCCCCATATTCATGTGTCCTAGTTCTCTTTGTACTTCAAGACAATGTCATATCTCAAGGTATATGGCAAGTCAGGTCAGGATTAAGCAGGTTATGCTGCAGAAACAAATACCACCACAAAAATTTATTGCTTCTTCATGCTTCTTGTCCCAACAGAGGTCAGCAGCAGGGCTCTGTTTGTAGTTTTTACTGAAGAACTTGGATTTTGGAATCTTTATCTTAGCATGTGCCTCTGTGGTCACCACAGGAGTAGCAAAGAAATATGAGGAAACATGCCCTGGCCTTTAATGTAGTATCTTAAATTGTTCATAAGGCTCTTAAAACTTCTGTCAGGTTTTTAAAGCTTCAGCACGGAAGTGACAGCACTTCTGCTTCTGCTCACATTTCATTGGCCAGAGAAAGTCATATAACCATGCCTAACTTAGAAGGAGATGGAGAAGTGTACCATTATCCCAGGCCTATAAGGCAAGTGAGACACTTGGGAACAAACACTAACTTCTCATGACTATTCTCAATAGTGGGTGGCAGATTCATTTTGTTGATTTGAATGAGTATGATTAAATTTGATAATGACTATTTCAAGCATTAAATCCATTGAATGAATACATTGGTCAATTCCTGGGCACATATATGATCCTCTTGATTTAAAGCACTTGTCTGGAAACCTTCCTAATTTACTCAAATTGTGAAATTATTCACATTGATAAAACCTTTTACTCTGGGGATCAGAACAATGGTTGTTATTACTGATGAAGGTTTTATCCGCTCTACTAAAACTGTTTGTCATCCATTGATTCTAAAATTATTCTTCAGCATACTTGGAGCAGTTAAGACAGTAGACAATGTATAATTGGAAAGGAAGTGTATTTATTGGGATGCCTTTCTCTTCTAGGTGAGGTGCAATTCCTACAGACCAGAAGCTGCCCGAGAACAAGTTCAAATTGGTGCTCACAGCCCCCCTCAGTTTAGGTAAATGGGAAAATGAGTGATACCAGTTTTTAACCATGCATCTCTCCATTTCCTTCCTAACCCAGCTATCCCAGGTTTCTACCAGTTGGTGACCTGAACAAGAGCCTGTACTGTGAACTGTGTGATTTCTATTTTGCAGACAAAGAAAAAATCTGCCCAAACAGAAATTAAGCACCTTTTCCTTCATTGGTAGTTTGCTGGTGGGGACTTGTACATTCCTCCACTCTAGTGTTGCATCAAGAGACTCTACAAGACTCCAAAGGCAATTTGGAATCCAAACCATAGCTTTAGTATTACATCCAATTTATTATCTTCTAGTTTTTGAAAGGTAGCAATCCATGGGTGAACACCATGGGTACTCAGTAGAGTGAAATATTTTATTTATCCAGTGATACTTTTATGCCCAGGCCAAAAACCAATCTGTATCGTCTTAGGAAACGATGAGATCTGATGTCCTCTGCCTTAAGACACCTAGAGCTCTGGTTATAAAAAATATCCTGTTTAATCCCTCTTGTTCTTTCACACAGTTAACCAACAAACATGAATCATGCCCACTTTCTCAATAACAGAGTACAAAGGAAGATATGGGGATATTTAGCAATTACAGTTTATATCTAAAGTTAGAGACTCTACATTTTGGCTTTTCAGTTCGAATTGTTTATATTTCGAGGAGAAAGACTATGAACTACGGTCTTATTTAATTGTCAGAATGTATAAAATATTAAGTAAAAATAAAATTAAGGTTAATAATACCTACCCTGTACTAGGTTCTATAGTTTGAGAGAAATTGTAATAGGGAACAGATAAGAATAATGAAGACTCCAAGAAACCATAATAATTTATATTTATTCATTTTTTGATTAGAACATATTATATTATATCTGTTTATCTTTATATTTAATGTTTAAATGAATCCATTAGCATTTTGCAGGAAAGTCATCTAAAATTTCTCCTATATTTTAAAGTCCATTCCTAAAACCTTGCCTTAGATGTGCTTCAGAAATTGACTATAAATTACTCACAAGCATAAAAATCTAATCACTGTGTTGGAAATTCCTCCCCACTGGGCTAGACTGTCATGAAGGCTGACAGTCTCTAACAGACTAAAATGTGTTCCCACTGACAAATGGTGCAGATGAAATCACACAGTAGATTAATTACTCAAACAGCTAAGTTTTTAGAAACGAATTTCCTTTTGCTAACTAGTTGCCTGTAATGTTGGATTTTAGCTGATAATTTTATCGAGTATGCTTACTAATTATCAGCTATATTCTAACTTTAACACTTGCCTAGGGTGAATCACACTATGAAATATGCATCCCTACCCATACATCCAGCTAAAACATAAGACGTTATGGGGATTTTTTGGATACAAGCCATCACATTTATTCAAATGCCCGTAGGTAACAAAGTCATTAGAGAAGAAATAGTCAGTAACTGAGAATGCTGAGTCTCTAGTCAACTTTTTGAACGTGCAGTTGAGTAAGAAATAGATGAGGGGGAAGTTTTTTTTTTTTGGTCTGGCTTGTTACTGATGTCTGCAAGTAACTATAGATTTTGAGTGCAGTAGAAATCACACAATGGAAATACCACTCCCAAAAGTCAGTTACAGTCAAAGTGCTGAGTAGAAATCCACAGTTTTTACTGTAGTCATGAACTTATATAAGGACACCAGATTTTGGAGCTAACTCCAGTGAAGAATTGCTTATCAGTAATAACTAGGTACTTTCAATTAGAGAAAATGTTTTCACAGACTGAATGAATTTTTTTTTTTTTGAGTTGGAGTCTCACTACATTGTCCAGACTGGAGTGCAGTGGCTCCCGGCCACTACAGCCTCAATCTGCTGGGCTCCAGCAATCCTTCCGCCTCAGCCTTCTGAGTAGCCAGAATTACAGGCGCGTGCTACCACACCTGGCTGATTTTCGATTTATTGTAGAGATGAGGTCTTACCAAGTTGCCCAGGCGGGTCTCGAACCCGCGGGCTCAGGCAATCCACTCACCTTGGCCTCCCAAAGCGCGGGATTACAGGCTGAGCCACTGAGCCCGGCCGAATTTTTTTTAAATTTTAAAGATGTCGGGTACAATTCAGGATTAGGTACATAAGTGATCATTGTACAGATGAAGTTTGGGCCTCTCTTTGGTCCCCACTTCACCTGCTTTGGGATCAGGTATCCTTGTGGATGTTATGTGCTCAGTCAGAATTTTTTTTTTTTTTTTTTTGAGTTGGTGTCTCACTCTGTCACCCAGTCTGGAGTGCAATGACACATTCACAACCACCTCAGCATCGACTTGCTGAGCTCTGGTGAAATCTTCCGCCTCAGCCTTCCAAGTAGCTGATCTACAGGTGCACACTACCATGCCTGGCTAATTTTTTATTTATTTCAGACATGAGGTCTCATCAAGTTGCCCGGGCTGGTCTCAAACCCGCAGACTCAGGCAGTCCACTCTCCTGGGCCTCCCAAAGGTGCTGGGATTACAGGCTGAGCCACCGAGCCAGCCAGAATTTTTTTTTTTTTACAAATAGTTAGAAATGCAACAACATGGATGTCTCTTTTAGACATTATATTGAGTGAAAGGAATCAAAGACCAAACAGTACATACTGTGGATTCCATTCATATGGAGTTTAAAAGCAGGCAAAAGAGATCAGAATAGTAGTTACCTTTGAAGGTGCTATTGGTAGGGAGAGGCAGGAGCCTTCTGGGTGCTGGGCATATACACAAAAAAAAAAAAAACCCTGAAAAGTTCTACATTTAAGATTTGTGCACTTTATGTTAGTTATATTTTCCATAAAAAGCTAACTTAAAAGAACTATTTGGAAATACTAAGTATTGGTAATGATATAGTTTTATAAGAATTTGAAGAGTGCTGGAAGAATAAATGAGTATTTGCTTGGTATTCAGGAGATGCTGGTTCTAGTCTCAGCTCTGTTAATTTTCTTGGAAAATTATTTAATCATTTTGGGCTCAGTTGTCTCCCTATAAACAGACTAAATGAACATCATATTCCTTCTAGCAATATACTGCTACAGCTTTATATAGAACCTGTTGATGTGTAAGAATGAAATGATATGTGTTTTGACATATCTTTTTTTTCAGGGTCAATGGTGCAGTTAGTAACTTTGAAGAATTCCAGAAAGCTTTTAACTGTCCACCCAATTCCACGATGAACAGAGGTGTGGACTCCTGCCGACTCTGGTAGCTGGGCCACTGGTTTATGCCCTCCTGAGAGAGATGCACAGTTCTAGCAGAGGCTGCACTGAGCATTCATCGCCCACTGCTTTAGACCTAGATTCCCTTGAAGACTTTCATTTTTAATGCATTTTCATTATTTGAGTAGATGACCTGCTTGGACCTAAACTATATCTGCTCAAAGTTGTAGGGCTTAAAAAATTGAATACAAGAAATGAACCAAATGTATTTCTTTAGAAAACCAAACCAACATAAATAAATCCCTAAGCTACTTTTGTTAAAATGCTGTCTGCTGAATTGTTGCTATTGTTCATTTTAGTGTGTTAGCCACAGCTAAGTGATATGTACCATTTCAATCTATAGCTTTGCAGGAGGCCTAAATAGAATATATCCATAAAAAAGTTTGGTCTATTAATCTTGTAACCCTCAATACTGAAGACATCTGCGTGAATACCAGGGAGGTCTCACTGCTCTGTGGAAAACAGTGCTAGATTTTATAGACCGTCATTACATAGCATTTCTTAACTCTAAGGTAGTTGCATTAGAAATATATTTGATCTCCATTTTACAATTTTTGATGGCGTTCTCACCTTCATCTTTGGAGTCTATTGGAATAAAATCATGCCTCACAGATTGCCCTGTTCAAGTCAGCATAAACAAAGCTGACAGAAAGGTTACCTGGTAAAGGATTGAGTTTATCAAATAGAAAAAGGGGGGGATATTGCTTTAAGTGCCAAAAGAAGTAAGAACTCCTAGTCACATAACAATAGGGAAACTAGGAGATAAAATCTCCCCAACTTAATCTAGTCTGTATGAACCTCAGTGATTGTTGGACACTTTAGCCCAATTCCTGTTTGTTTCATTACCTTCACATGTGTGTCTTCTCTCCTGGTTTTGAAATGAGCAGACACTGAGAAAAAGGATGTTCTGATTCCTCAGTAGGAACACATGACTTTCATTTCCCTTGAGAACAAAGGAACAAACACCACATTGAGGAGGGAGCAAAGTGCCCCTCCATTTCAACTTAGTTAATGTTACTTCTCTTAAAAAAGCAGGGGGAAGGAACTTTTTGAAAAATTTCTTGATTGAGGACATTTTAGAATATATTCAATTTAAAATTTCCTACACAGCCCAAAGAAACATAATTTTTATGCTTCCAAGTCTTCTAAAGAGCCTATAGGAAAGAGCCGTACTATATTTTTGATCCTTAGAGCATTATGCTTTTATGTGAACTTCTCTATTTCTTATTAGTGTTTGTGTGTATGTAGGATAAAATTGCAGTGGTCTTAAAGTTGTCACCTGGCATGTCCTGTTTCTTACAATAGGTATCCCCCCACCCCCTTCACATTGTACATGATGTGCTGGGTTAAGTGGGCCAATAGAAAAATCTCAAAAGCAAAATGACAAATTCAGATTAGTCACAGTAGGCCACTTTACATCCCTGTGACTTGTCATTCCTTCAAGAAAAAGTAAGTGTGTGCCACGTCCTTTTGTAACCACAGGAACTTTTGAAGCGAGAAAAATGGAGGGGCACCATCATGAGGAAAACAATTATACAGCATTAGTCAGAGGAGAGTGATTTTCCCCTTGACTTCCTCCTCTCTGAATGGATACACTTCTGAAGGGCAGCTGCCTTTTCCTCCTCTTAACCATGACTTAACATGACCTTAGTTTGTATTTCTAAAAACAAGCAGTATTAGGTTAGGGGTGTTGGAAATGTATTTGTCTTTTCTCTGGAGGAATCATTCTGATTTGATTTAGACATATAAAATACTCCTTGTTTTATTCCTGCACTTGGGCATTTAAAGTCAGCTGAGGTTTATTATGCTTATATGAATAGTGTTTTCCTTCTAAATTTCTTTTTGAAACTCCAATAAACACATTCCTGCAGGTCAGAGAAGAGTGTTTGATAAAAGTATAGAATTACGATTTTTGGAAACAGAAATCGTTAAGTCACTGTTTTGGGAAAACTAATTGATGGTCAGTTGGGACCCTCACAATTTCTTGACGACAGGGTTACTTTGTCCTGATTGACTTTCCTTGATGTAACTCGGTTATATTGAAAGTTGTAGATAGAATGGCCATTATTAAGATAAACAAAACAAAAAACCAAGCCAAAAGCAGAAATACTAAATCATCACTACCAGCTAGAACAATTTTCTAGAAGGATTGAATTTCTAAATACATACTTGTGTTTAACTCTTCCAATTACAGTCTCATTGTCCCTTTTCTTGGGCACAGATTGCTAAAAGAAACAGACACTGATTAAGTGGTAGAAAGAAGGTAAAATGCAACTGGAAGGGAAGGAATAAAAATAGGGAGAAGCTGGCCTAAGGATGTGGCTCTGAAGAGAAGACAGGGTTTTGGTAATCCTTGCAAAGCACATCCACTGGAGTAGAGCCATAAAGTTTAATAAAAATAATTATGGTAAATTAAAAGAAAATTAGATACTGGATCTCAGACTAGGGCTGCCATAACACACTTCTCTGATTCATATACCATTTGTTCTGCCAGTGAACCATTGTCTGGGCATTGGAAGGAGTTAGGTTTTTTGTGAAAATCTCCTGGATTAGTCAAAAACTTTCTGAATATAAAGTGATCTTATTTCGGCTCATCACTATTGCCCAAAGTTTGTTGAGCTTTTCACCAAATACTCAGTGTTGGCCTCCTAGTCTCATTTATTCATTTTATGAGATGGACTTGGACACGACTAATACAAACTCAGGATTCATAAATTATCCTGAAACTTACGTAGTGCCTTTCCTCAATGGAGCTTAAAACACAGCACATAAATTTTATCTTATTTAGCCCTGGAGCATCACTAAGAAGCAACTAGGAACAATGGCCTGCCAGACAGGTTGTGTTTGTGCCAGAGAAGTAAGAAGGCCTAAAAGCTATTGTCAAGTAAACCGAAGTCAGGAAAGGCAGCGTCTTTGTGTTTTGGGCTACTGATCTTTGGATTAACCTTTGGAAATCCCTTAGATTTCCCCATTTCTAAATACATTTATTCAACCAGTATTTCTATATTCACTTAGCATTTAATAGGATTTTTCTTGATATATAATGACTCAGTTGCATATTAAATTATGGAAGAATATATGATTGTTTCATATAGCAATATTCTCATCACCAGTGACAGTGTCCCACTGGTCTAAATAAAGATATTCTTGGATTATGCATTTTATATCCAAATGGTCATTGTGAGACTAGTTTGGTTGTATTTTCTTCCCCTACTTGTGAAACAATGTGAACAATAATTTTAAAGACAATAAAAAGTTGGTTGAAGACTTTCTATTTCTCTTTTTAAAAAAATATTAAAAATCTATTGCATCTATTAATATATTTAATTTTGTTTTAGATAATATTTGCCAAAAAAATACAAAGCACTGTAGTATACTAGCTTTCTTGGCTTAGAACAGTGGGATTTGAATGCGGTATCTTTCTCCATAGACAATGAGAGATTTGCAGGGTGGTCATTATATTTTCTTCCAGAATGTAAGTCAGCAGATGTGGTTTATTGTCTTTGCTATAATATTCCTATTGAAGAAAAGAGATACTGTTGAGGAAATTATCAACCATGATAGGGCTGGTCTCACAAAAATGAACATTGCAGTTACTATCAAAACAGAGAATCTCTGTGTGCTATCACCATTCCTTAACAAAGCCAGTCAATTTACATTAATTCATTCAGCACACAGTAACTAAACACTGATTATATTTGAATCACTAAACTAGCTATATTTAGGTTGGCAATATACACTCTCTGGACTCCAATGAATAGTCTGGTTTAACATGGGAGATGAAGATGTAAACTGTTACAATTACTGTACCGAATGATTTTGATGAATATAAGTATATCAAGTTGTGATTTGGAAAACAGAGAAGGAATTATTCAACTTTCCTCTGGTGGACACTCTTGGTGTTTCCTCTGCCCAGAGCCTAGAAAATCCTTTTTCTGGTGTGCCCTCACCTCACCTTCTGTGTACTTTTGTTTCTAATTGACTGTGGCTCTCCAGGATAGCTGCCCTCATGCTACTTTGGAATCTCTTTGCCCAGTGCACTTTCAGAGAACTAGAAGTGCCTGGTGACCCTGAGACAATGACTGAGTGGTAGGGAACTCTGAAAGCCTGACTCCCTTTCCTGAATCCAGACAAATCCAAAGGCATACCATAGAGCTTACACTAACTTCTCTGTGGAATCTTTGGAGTTAGACTTGGAGTACAAGTAGAGTCCCCTGTTGATTATTTTAAACACTTTTCTGGTACTGATATGTTCCAAGATCTAGAAAAGTACTGGTCTGTAGGGTTCTAGGCCAGTCCATTTGGATAGATCATATCATCACGTACAGAAAATAGATGCCAGATGATACAGAATTAGTGAATAATAAGTGGTTAAGTATTGGTGTCCCTCTTGGAGAATTTAGTTTCTGAGCCGATCCATGAAATAATTTTTTTGTGCGTGTAGGGTAGTAGCACAAGGAAAGATGCACATAAATGGCAGAAATTAGGAGTGTTCTTTGGGGTATGGACAGGAAAGAGGAGCTTTGGGAGAATAGAGGCAAGAAATCTAGACTCTCTCTTGCTATGGTCTATAATAGATTTTATGAGAACCAAGAGATATGAATTTGCTTAGATTTTTAGGTATATGACTAAGTGGCCCTAATCAAAATTTGAAAGAGGCTAATGTTTCCAATTAGGCTTAAGTTATTTGCATGCCCCTCAAGTTTAATTGCTTTCTTTACTAAGATCACACTAGCTGTAGAAACATAATCTCAATGGGCTTAAGCCAATTTAAGTTTATTTCTTGTCTATATTACATACATATAATGGATATTAATAATCACTGAGCTTCTCTCCTTCAACTGGTGACTTAGGCACCCAGGCTCCTTCCATATTGTGATTCTGTCATTTTCAACACATGGTTGAATACATGCTCATCTGCAAGAAGCTGGTGGAGGGGAAATGTCCATGGAAGATTTGGGCTTGTTCTGAAAGCTGTCTAAATTATTTCTGTTCATATTCTATTGACCGGAGTGCAGTCATGTGGCCAAATCTAATTGCACTGGGGAAGCAGGCCCATGAAGTCTAGCTGTATGCCCAAAATGAAGAGGAAATGGGTTTGACTTTCAGCTAGCATTGCCAGCCATATCTTTTAAGTGAAATATAAGGCAGTAACTTTGAGCTCTTCTGAATTTAGAAAATTGCTTTTGAGCACAGCACAATGAAAATTGAAAATGCCATTGGTAGCCTGCAGTTTATTCTGTAGGAGTCTTTTTAATTAACAGCCTAATTGGATAATTTAATCCCCTTTAGAATTGGAGATATGAAAATGAAAATGAGATACTCCCTGTGATCTGACAATATCGTGCTTTAATAAACACGCCAAAGTGAGTCCGGAAATGAGCACCACAAAAGCATTACCATAA